AATTCTAAAATATCGGTGTAATTTGCTCAATACAAATAATTGCATTCTGCAGACATGTTATAAACAATTGTTATGTTAGTATGAAGAACAACAGGAAAATTGTACAAACTGGTTAAGTGCAGTTACATGTAGAAAGCGTTTTTAAAACGCTATTTGTTACGAGTGATAAAATTCTTTAAAAAGAATATTGATGACTTCCCTTACTCATCTGGAAAATCTGCAGCAAAATTTAAATTCTAATGGATCGATTTTGACTTCTTTATCAAAATTTTCCCGAACTTTTTAGTAGACCTCTGGTTTTTCCCTTAATTCTGTAAAACTCGGAACTTGAGAGGTACCCGCTAGGTGACGTTTCTGCATCACTTCCGTATAATTCTACTTTGATATTTCCAAATCTTATATTTTTTTACGTTTGACGATGAATACTCGGATTATTGTGGAATGCCTAGGCAATTAAATAGCACGATTAAAGACAAAAAATATCTACCGAAACAAGATATAATAACATATTTTGGTGACATGTAGTAGGTATATGATATTTTAGGTCCGATATCCAAGAGGGGTCCAGTGTTAACAAATCTATGGAAGTGACTTACCTTCTCTATTTCATAATACCGTGGGTATGATTTTTTGATAAAACGTTAATTCTACATTATTTTTGGATTTTTCATATGGAATACTTTGTAAATGTGTACTAGAAGATTAATTTATGGGAAAAGACGAATAAAAATATTCTTGGATCCAGGGTGTATATTGGGGGGGGGGGGGTTCTGTCCATAAGCACCTGTGCAGCATTCAAGCTTAAAAGACCATTCAAACAATACAAATCAGGAGCAGTGCAAACACGAACCTTTTAAAATAGAGGTAGAATCAAGTGCCATGGATCTGTCCTGTAGATTTTGAACTTAATTACCTGTTGGCAGTAAATACAAAATTTACATGTCATGTTGTAAATTTTGTATTTACTGCCACCCGGTAAATTCAAAATTTACAGCATGACAGATACCTTTTATGCTAGCACTTACCCCGACACGAGACCTTATATGGTCCCATCCAAAGGACCGATCTCCACGTTTTACTACTTATCCGAACTGCACATAAAACATTCTCAATGAATTTTTAAATCACTGTGTTAAACCTAACAAATTATTCCGACTTGTTGTGTGGTCTGAAAAACATGGCTGAACTTATCCATTCAGAAACCCACAGACTGGGATTGCTCTTAACCAGTGTGTGTTATGGCCTTGATGCAAGGTCATTTGGTCGAGTCAAGGTCACTGACAGAGAAACTGTAATTTCGCTACCGTATTTCTACTGGTGAAACATTGCTGGTATCATGCGGAGTGTGACATGGCCTTGACTTAAGTTCAAGGGCACTAAGGATAAGATGTTTTGACTGTATGTATGGACTAAAAGAACATGTGTCACTGTGAACTTTTTAAGTCGGTAACTCACAGATTGGATTTTATGACGAGTGTGTCATGGCTTGACGCAAGGTCATTTGGAATGTTTAAGGTCACGTACATTCCTTTACAGTTTTTCCTAGCGAAATATTGTAAGTTGCTTCCCCTTACAAGATTGCTTACATGTATAACTTTAGAATGTGGCATGACCTTGACTCAAGGTCACTTCTTCCTTCCGCAGCTCCAACGGAAGACCTATTCGTTGCTTTGCAACGAGCTCGCTCTAGTTTTTCTTTCTGTTTCTTTTCTACGTCAAATATACGTTAATAAAGTTAATAAATAAATTATTCTCAACCATTCTGACCAAAAAGTGTGATTTGCATTTTGCGTTCTTGCCTTTCTCTTAATTTCGACGCAAAATGTAACAACGCAAAGTATAATAATCAAAAATTGTGTTTTTAAATTTTGCCTCATTACATTTGGCGTTGGTCTCAGCGCAAAATGTAAAAACGCAAATTGTAATAATCCTATAAAATCTAATGTTTTATTTTGCTTTATTACATTCTGCGTTGATCTGGATGCAAAATATAACAACACAAAATGCAATAATCCCGGTTTATTACATTTTGCGTTAATGTTTTTACATTTCACGTTGTAACATGGCGCACGTCGGGTGTGAATTGTGGACAGGAGATGTTTATTACTTCATAGCCTCTGATCCCACGTCTGTTGGTTTCAGAGCTCCGTATTTGCTCTGCTTCTGGCCCCGGGGCTATAAAACTTAGACGAGCTCACTTTTGATCTCAGTCTCACTTCTACAAAAGGAATATATTGTGGAAAAGTGAGACTGAGATCAAAAGTGAGCTCGTCTAAGTTTTATAGCCCCGGAACCTGATGTAAATTGTTTCATCAGATTTTGAGATTCATAAATGTTCGAAAATCTTCATATTTCATTATTCCTTACTATCTTAAATGCATATTAACAAAACAATTGATAGCTTACCATTATGCAAAAGGTGAAGTGCAGCATTAAACTTAGATCCCCGGAAATTCCAGAGGTGAGATCAGGTGGCTAGGAGGAGTAAGCAAATAAATCTAGGTTGAAATAAAGTTCTCTACGACGTTGACGGGTTTTTTTTTTGTCTGTCTTAAATTCTCAAAATTCAAGGGTAACTAAATTGTACATTCATTAATTAAACTATCTGCCACACACATTTATACATACATTACTGTATTATTATTGTTAAACCTTGAGGACCATTTAGCTCAACAATGAATACAATTAACAAAGAATTTTTACAATTAACAAAGAATTATTTTTAAACATGTACATTTAGTACATTTTACTAGGTCATTGTTACGTGTAGATAGTACTAAAAATACAAAGATTTACACAAGACGACCTATTAATTTTTCTGTAATATAAAAACTAAATGGATCATTTTGCTGTGCATTAAAAATTCGTCATATTTTATTTCACTTTTTAAGACAACGATATCGCAGGCATAATTGATACTGATGTTTGAGCTATAATGTGCACTTTTTTAAATCACGTGATTTAAATTCCAAAGGTAGGTAAAACCAGTAACGGCAGACATTATTTAAGCAGGTAAACAATACTTTTGAACAAATGTAGCTATGATAGGATATCAAAAGGCTTAAACTGCATTAAAAACAAACAGTTTAATGGAGCTAGGCTGTGATTTTAATCTGTTATTTTTGTACACCCAATTGTAAAGAGAGATTTAGAAATTCTACTTTCACTTTCAAACGAGCCACCTGTCAACATAGCCTACATGTTTATTGTCTACAATATATACTTGAACATGACATTATATGAGAAATTTTCGTATATAATCTTATAGTCAGAAGAAATAAAACATAATATGTTTTGTTATGTTCTACGTAACGAAGAATTAACTCCCTCAAGTGACTTGCATCATTATTTGTGGTATTTGTTTAAAGAAATGGTTATCTCAATATTTTACCAATATTTAATTATTTTCAAAAATCCAGATTTAATACGTTAGTTTTAGTGCACAAAAAACCATTCTTTGACAATGAAATACAATTTTTTTTTCTTAAAGTACACATTTACAAAAATGATGGTTTAAATTTGAGATCAATACACCTCCTTGCTCATACATTTACTTTAGCAGCTGTCTCAGCAAGTCCAAAACACATGTATCATGGGTTATACACTACTATAAGTATATGATAAATATACATTATTATAACAGTAACTTGATCCGAAGAGTCGTATCACGTCGAGTTAACAGGCGCGGATCATCAGATCAAACGAGACGCGAAGCGTCGAGTTTGATCTGATGATCCGCGCCTGTCAACGAGACGTGATACGGCTCTTCGGATCAAGTTACTGTTATAATGATAAATTTATTATATACCCCCTTACAACTAGCAAAATATAGTTTTAAAAAACTTTTGAGATCAATTATATAAGATTTTTCCATTAAACAAAGCATTTTGTCTAGGAACTTTTTGATGCGCATGAAAAATAACGTCATGCTTCTGTGTACTACGTCATCAATTTCAGAGAGAGGTGATATGGATTCAGAAAACCACAGTGTGGTGATCCGGAAAGTCGGAAAGTCGGATCACACCGTCACGTGATTGTACGAAATCTACAGTAAAATTGAGTGATACACTCTTGGGTATATAATAAAAATGAATCTCGGCGAATAGATACGTATTATCTTCTCGCAACGGACTTGCCATGTACTTTCCTTGCACGTGTAGCGTTTGTAGGCCTATAATCGACAAATTTTGTGTATGTGCTCACGCGTGGACTCCATTTTTCGGCGTCTTTCTCAGTCTTAATTTCTTACTTTCTGGTAACTTTATTTTGGGATTTCGTCTTGAATGTTGATTTGCATCGTTAATCGGCAAATGGAGAAATGCTGTGCACTTTATTCATGAATTCATGATTATGTGATCGTTATAAATTACACGTGTAATATTCATAATTATTGTGGTTTTTCTAAATATCCTCACAATTTAATTATCAATGCTCTTTTTTGAAGTTAAAACATATAAATTTGATCATATTTTCATCATGTAATGTCAAAAATCAAGTGTAATATTTCCACGGCTAAATACAACTGTGTTTTCCCTATTCGGCGGCTCATTCACTGTCTTAATTCCAGCCCAAGAAATTAACAGCCTTATCATCTTTAAAGTATTGAATTTTTTTTCAAACTGATGGTACAATTTACAAACTTTTCCGTCATATGATGAAGAACTCAGTCAGAAAATGGTAATTTCCAACTCTACTTGACAAAAGCGTTCCGCTCTTTCACAATCCTTTTCTGTATCAAAGTAATGAAGATAGCTTCGCGTCAGATTTTCAAACTCAAAAGGAACCATCAACTTTTCGTAACTTTGTGAACTTTGCATTCCGATTCGGAAAAAAAAAAATGAAATAAAGGTCTTAAGCCAAATTCCATGATAAAACGTAATCTGCTTTTCCTTAAACCTAAAGTAGTAAGTGAAATATTTGCTTGTATTTGTTCTGTTATTTAGAATAAATGTGCTAGATTATGAAAATCTCATTTTTCACTCATAGGGTCCTGAAAATATGTCTGGTTCAAAAAATCTAATTATTGCCTATACTGTGGGGCAATGTCCAAGAAACAAAGCGTCATGGAACACGTCATCAACGTCACGACGCTGCCCTGTTGACGTCAACGGCAGGAGTACGTACCACTGCGTCCCTAATCAGCAGACGACAGCGTTGTTAGAATTCTGCTACAACAGACAGATCGGACTTTATCAAAGTGGTATGCTTTCTTATAACAATCAAATTACTCAGAGCCGGGCTTGTATATTGAGCAGTGACCAGTATCATGCGAAATGTTATTAAATGTATTTAAAACACAGGTAAAGCTTACCTTTAATCTTCTCTGTAAAACACTGTATAACCTCGGTGCCAGGATACTGCAGTTCATTATCCGCATTTGAAATTATTGGAACATCTTCCTCCAGATTATCTCTGTTCAATGTTTTTAGCTCACAATTCGCAATCCGTTTACTTCATTTATAGTGGTTCTTGTTTATTTTTCCATTTACGTTTTTTTTTACTCAAATGAGCTTTTCTGATCACATTTTATCTGAAGTCAGTCTAGCTGTTCCCCCGTCTGTCCTTCTGTCCGTCTGTAATCTTTTCACATTTTCGACTTTTTCTTCAGAACCACTGGGCCAGTTTTGACCAAACTTGGCATAAAGCATCCTTGGATAAAGGGGATTCAAATTTATTCCAATGAAGGGCGACTCCCTCTTTCAAGGGGAGATAATTAAGAATTAGTGAACTTTGGTGTAATCTTTTTAAAAATCTCATGAACCATTGGGCCAGAAGTTGAAACTTATGTGAAACCTTTATTACATAGTGTAAATTCAAATTTGTTCAAATCGTGATCCCCTGAGGTAGGTGGGCTACAAGGGGGGGGGGGGGGGAGTTGTCAAATTTTCACATAAATTAGGAATATGTAGGAAAAATCGTTAAAAATTTTCTCCTTCAAAACAACAAAGCCACATTTAGTAAGTGATATGAAAGCATCCTTAGGTAGTATAGATTCAGGTTTCTTTAAATCATGATCCCCAGGGGTTAGGTGGGGCCACAATAAAAGAACAATATTTTACATACGAATATACAGGGAAAAACTATAAAAGATTTCTTTTCAAGAACAACAAAGCCACGATTAGACATAATGATATGGATTTCGAAGCATCCTAAGGTAGTGTAGAATCAAGTTTGTTCAAATCAAGACCCCTGGGGTAGCGTGGGGTAACAATCGGGAATAACAATCCCACCTTACCCCATTCCCGGGGTAGGGTGGTTGACATTTTTAAAATGGAACAGTAAGGCCATGAACAGTCATATGATTATGGAAGCTTCCTTAGTATATATTCAATTTCGTTCAAAACATGACATCTGGGAGTAGGTTGTGGCTAGAACAGTCAATCAAAGCTCTACTTTTGAATGTATTGGAGAAGAAATCGATCTGTTTCTGAAGAACAGTCGGGGCCATATTGACTCAGGTGAGCAATGTGGTCTATGGGCCTCAATTTAAAATTTAATCTAATATGCTAAATATCACAAAATCTCCTTTACAAGGTCGGATGCTTGACATATTATACATGTTAGTGTGAATTTCCTAGGCACATATGGCGAGACAATACAATTTCTCTTCATTCTATAAATAGAAGTTATCAGGTTTGTGTGTCTCACGTGGCCTGTGTGTACATATGGAAGCAATGGTTACGTCCACTCTCATACACATAGTAGTATATTAAAAACAAAATTTTAAAAAAGCGCCGTCGAGCGTCATTAACATGAATTATCTGAGAACGGAAACTGAACTAATTTGTAAAGAGTTTTGTAAACATTGGCGGTTTTGGGGTTACCATCCAGTAATTATTCTGCGCAAATCAGCGATTTCGTAGAAATTAAATACATTATACATCACTAAAAAGGAAGTACACTTTAAAGGTTAGGAATCTATATAACGATCCATCAATTGACATACGTACATCTCGTAATATAATATACACGTAACTAGCTATAGTAATTTATTACTAAAGCAAATCCTTTTTGCATACTTCCTATTTTCTCTTTAAGGGACCTGTTTATACCTCACAAATTCTGGCTATCTTAACCAAGTATGGTGCACAGACTTCATCCATGGTTGTCCCGAAAAACCATATTTCAGCAGTGAAATATACAAATGTATGAATATTTGTGTAGCTGCCAAATTAACTATTGGTTTTTGAATGAAATAATTTTAAGTTTTATGAAATAATTAATGTAACACAGCGTGCATATCTTTGATTTCTTAAAGATAGATTGTATACACTGGACTTAAAAAAAATAAAATATCCATTTGCTGTTTTGCTAGATCAGGAATGTTTGGCCATTGACAAACAAAGGCGTTGCTACGAAGCAGTGGAGTCATGTCGGAATAAAACAAGAAAGTAAATATCCTATACTCTCTCTCTCTCTCCTCTCTCTCTCTCATGTTAACCTTTGTATTTATGTTGTTTCTTTACAGTAGCACAGATGTGTCTTTCTCTATACCTTTTACACCATCATCCTATATACCGATCTTACTAGGTGTAATCGTACCCATCCTTTTGATTGTCATTCTTCTGTGTGCCTTATTTATAAAATTTCGACGCAAAATGAATGTAAACAACGAGGGTAATATGGATCCAGAACAGGATCATCTTCTCCGTAAGTAATTTTGTTAAATGAGGCTGTAAAGATACATATACGAAAGACGGGTAATTTAAATCTATATTTCACACATATGTGAAAGAAATTATACTCAAAATTTCATGGAAATGTAATACAAAAAATCACATATTACATTATTAAGATACATGGTCACGGTGAAAGAAAACGATCTCCAGGGTACTATGTAAATCTGTTAACAGTGATAAAGTAATATGTAATCATATAAATGGTTGAAAGTGATACTGAATTAAAATCTTTTCTTTTTTTTTTTTTTTAATATCTTCATTTTGATTAGAAATTTTAAGATTCTTGAAGACAAATGCTATCAGCATATTGGTATTTAAAAAATCTTTCTCAGAGAGGTGTATTAACACTTTATCGTTCAATCAGACTCATGATGTTTATTTGAATCGGGGTTTGTATAGATATATCTGGCTAGGATGTAATAAACATCAACTCGGGCTCCAGCTTCAACTCTGGCTCAAAAAAGAGACTTGGAGTGGAGTATCAATCGAAATAATCAATTTTCATAAAATTTGGCTCCAGCTCTGGCTCTTAATATAGTTCGAAAGCTGTTTCGAAATTTTGAGAGGGAACACATACTCGAAATGTAGGTTATATACATGTATAAGTACACAGGAAACGAGTTTCGCGCAATTTCCGGAACAGATTAAACTCACTGGAGGAATTATCAGCGGATGATGTCTTTGCAAGGCACAGATTCCACACAGAATTATGAATCTCCTGTGTCTGCTGCCAGACTTGTCTCATCCATCTCCATGGAACACTTCAGTCCCACCCATCCTACAATTCTTAGTTACTTCAAGGTTTCTAGGCACTGGTTAAATGTCATCATTTAGCAAGTTCAATGGTCGATACAATGACCATGTCAGGAAATGCAGTCTATCATTAAGTCGAATGCTGACTGACTTTTTGTCATACTTACTGTAGCCAGTGTTAGCTCTTCTGAGCCAAAGGCTCAAGGAGCTAATGCTATGGCCATTTGTGCGGTGTGCATAAACTTTTTAGAATATGGGCCATAACTCAAGAACCCCTTGGCCAATTGTTGTCAAATTTGTCACAGGGTATCCTTGGCCCAAGGGCTTCCGTTTGTACTTAAACTAGGGTTGTGACCCTTAATTAAGGGGAGATAATTAGGAAAATAGAAACAAAAGTGTTCGTTGCTAAAAAAATCTTCTTCTCAAGAACCACTGGGCGGATTATCACCAAATTTACACAAAAGGATTAGGATATGTGGTGAATTAAAATATGCACGGGGAATCGCCATGGGGCAAAGGGCTTGGTCTCAAGGTCACTTCAAAATTGACTAAAAATTATGTTTTGTTAAAACATTGATATTTTGCTTACTGTAAGGACTAGGATCATCAATTCTTGTCAGTTAAAGCATCTAAGGACCTCATATTATGTTGACTCAAAAGTAAGTCACGTTGGCCTACATTTTAAATTTTGCGCCTATTTTTTTTCAAAATGATTTTGGGACATATTTTTAACAATTTAAGGCCTATGATAATCAAACTTTGTCAGATGTGTCTTGGGTCCTCGGAGTTCGTCGACAAAAAAGTAGGTCACATTGACCTACATGTACTTTTTGTATTTTATGGCTTATCTTTTTCAAAACAATTAAGGTCATTTCTTCAAATACCGAAAGGTTTAGAATAATTCAATCTTGTAAGATGATGCATCTTGGCGTCGTAAAAAATATTTATTAAAAAGTAGGTCACAGTGACCTACTTTTTGCACTTTGCAGACACTCGATTTCAAAGCGTTTTAGAGGCATAATTTGGACATTTCAAGGCCTATGATCATAAAACTTTGCAAGTTGATGCATCTTGGGTCCTTGAAAAACGTAAACTGAAAAGTGGGTCACCGTGACCTACTTCTGAAATTTTTTGGCTATTTTTAAATATTTAGGGTACTACTTGGCTAAGAATCATCAAACTTTGTCAGTTGATGCATCTTGGGTCCTCGGAGTACGATAACTGAAAAGTAGAGTCACCGTGACCTCCTTTTGAAATTTCATGGCTGTATTTAATATTTTCGGGTATTATTTGGCTTAGAATCATCAAAATTTTGGGTCCTCGGAGTAGGTTGACTGAAAAGTAGGTCACCGTGGCCTACTCTTCAATTTATATGACTATAATTAAATATTTTGGGTACTATTTGGCTTAGAATTATCAAAATTGTCATTTGATGCATCTTGGGTCCTCGGAGTTATTTGACTGAAATGTAGGTCACTGTGAGCTACTTTTGAAAATTTATGGCTTTAAATAAATATTTCAGGTACTAATTGGCTTAGAATCATCAAACTTAGTTGATGCATCTTGGGTTCTCGGAGTACGACAACTGGAAAGTAGGTCACCGTGACCTGCTTTTGAAAATTTATGGCTTTAATTAAATATTTCAGGTACTAATTGGCATAGAATCATCAAACTTTGTCAGTTGACGCATCTTGGGTCCTCTGAGTACAACAACTGAAAAGTAGGTCTTCGTAACCAACTTTTGAAATTTTATGGCTGTATTTAATATTTCGGGTACTCTTTGGCTTAGAATCATCAATCTTTGTCACTTGATGCATCTTGGGTCCTTGGAGTACGTCTACTGAAAAGTAGGTCACCATGACCTACTTTTCAATTTTATGGCTACAATGAAATATTTCAGGTACAAATTAGCTAATAATCATCAAACTTTGTCAGTTGATGCATCTTGGGTTCTCGGAGTAAGTTGACTGAAATGTAGGTTCCTGCGACCTACTTTAGAAATTTTATTGCTTTATTTAAATATTTCAGGTACTAATTGGCTTAGAATCACCAAACATTGTCAGTTGATTCATCTTGGGTCCGCAGAGTTAGTCGACTGAAAAGGTCACTATGACCTATTTTTGAAATTGTATGGCTTTATTTAAATATATCAGGTACTTATTGGCTTAGAATCATCAAACTTTGTCAGTTAATGCATCTTTTGTCCTCAAAATACTTTCAATAAATAATATAGCATATGCGATATTTTTCAGATATTCTGAGAAGTAGGTCACCCCTTTGATCTACTTTTGAAATTTCATTTTTATAATTTTAAAAATATTTTAGGTATTAATTGGCTTAGAATCATCAAACTTAGTTGATGCATCTTGGATCCTCAGAGAATGACAAGTGATAAGTAGGTCACCATGACCTACTCTCAGGTACTAATTGGCTTAGAATCATCTTGGGTTCTCTGAGTGTTTCATCTAAAATATAGGTCATGATGACCTACTTTTGGAATTTCAAGGCTTTATCTAAATATACAGGATACTTGGAGGCTTCAAATAGAAATGATAAGTTGTACAGTTTATCAGAAGAGCGATTCAAGGCCGTCGGGTCTCTTGTTACAAAGTGAATTGTCTAAAGATTTTTCCGTTTCCCAATCATGACAAGGAGCAAACGGCGGGAGTGAACAGTCGACAGGGGATGTTTACTCCTCCATGGCACCCAATCCCACCTCTAATATTTTTAGAGGTCTGTGCTTCTCTGCTCCCTATTAGTATTGTTTCAATGGACTTAAGAGCTTGATTAATGTTCGTTACCTCCATATTTCATTTCACGACGTAAAAATGTATTTTATGATCAAATTAAAAATATATGTAGATATTTAAGACACTGTTACATTGGATGCGATGTTTCTCTTGTTTGATTTGATTCATTTATAAAAGTATTAAGCCATTTAAAAGTGCTGCAATCCTGGTGCATATTAAAAAATAAATCAATCATTAAGCAATAAAAAAAACTAATGCTTGTTTCCTATAACATTCCCGAAAAATCAAGAGTCGGTTGGTAGTGATATTTTTTCTTCTTTTTTTTTTTTTTTTTTTTTTTTTTTTTTGCTATTGTGTGACCTCACATATTGACACGGAATCAAGTTTTCAGTTTAAAACATTCATATTGACTTTCCATAAATGCCTAAATAAAAGGGGTCATACATGTACATCCCTTGTCTGAACTAACCCTGTGTGATATTTACAGTAGACACCGAACATGGTTGTCTAAAGACAGAAAACAAACTTCAAAAGAGCTGTGGGGGAATGCTGGATGATATAATAATGACCATTAGTCCTCATATGAATATTTTCTAGGTTGAAGTATTTTATATCTAAAATAAAGCTACAATTAACATTATTGGTAAAAAACAGATTTGGACGAAAAAAATCCACTCAGCTGCAATGGGTCGTTCGGGTTACAGGAAGCAAATAATTTCTTTTTTTGGTCTTACTATATTTAATGCATTTGACCAACATAAAAATCAGCAGGTGGTCTGTAAACCCATATGGTTTACAACGGACGCTTTATTTGAACATTTTAAACTTAGAATATATTCATACCTTAATCATTTTAGTTATAAGTGACAGTAAAATAAAAGTTTATAAAACAAGGATGGACATTAATAGTGTACCACATGCAGCGGCTTTATAATTGGAAAAAGGACTTTAATTTCATGAACTCTAATTATCTTGTTAGAACAAACTGGATTTTGATGTTGGTACAATGATCTATAATTTTGTAAAATCCTTGTAATGGAATTGAACAGAATAGACCAAAGAACCCATCTATACTAAGTAATAAAATTTGAACAGAAATTCAAAGTTACTATTAAGATTCTTGACCAAGAGTAATAAAATTGGAAACTTTTAAGTACATAAGTAAAACACCTCAGAACTAGAACTCCTGTGGTGCAGAGATGGGGATTGGGCCCATAGATGATACCATCATTGGTTTACCTTGATTGGAGGGTGGTGCCATGTCGGGGTTCATAGGTCAACGGACAGAACTATGTACAGGCGTAGGTGGCAAGACAATGGTAAGGCAGCCAATAAGATGTACTTTTATATC